TTCTCAAGGCCCGCATCTGCGCAAGCCGATCGTCTCCTCGTGGAATACGATGAGCTGCTTCACCATCCTCGAGTCAACTGCAGCTTGATGTGTCTCTGTCGTCTTGACCCCAGTGTAGAAGAGCTGCAGTCGGCTGTGAACGGTGGTGCTGTGTCCATATTGAAGTGCAGTAAGATGATCGAGGCTTGGGACACTGTGACCATACCGAAGAGCGTGCAAATGATACTCAACCCGAACCTGCCTCCGGTCATAAGCCTCGGCAGTCAGGGCACCTTCTACGATCGTGTAGCTCAAGACAAGGAGATCCTCAAGGTTATTCTCATGCTCACTGGAGCTGTTCAGAATTCCGAGGATGAATGTAACGTCTATCTGGAGCGCTTCTCTTGTTACGGCTGGTTATGGGAAGACAGCATTGAAGATAAGTACAAGGAGTTCGAGGCTACTAATCCGACCTTGGATGACTTCGAGTGCAAACTGCGCAGCTTCGCTCAATTAGATGAGAAACTTGATTTGTTCGAGTCCTCTCGCCAGATCGGCGCCCTCCTACTCCGACCAGAGAGCCTCGCAAAAGGCTTGAAGGGTTTGGCCAACGAATGGAAGGTGGCGTTCAGTAAACAGCTGCATGTGAAGGCAAGAGACCGGCTGGAAGCTTTGACGGAGCAGATCAAAACGACTGCTAAACGCATGAACCGTACAGTGGAGGACGGCGACATCGATGCTCTCGGGTACGTGATGAGGACCCTCAATGACGTTAGACGGAAACAGTCTGAGATCGAGCTCGAGTTTGGACCTATCACCCACATGTATGCAATTCTTGACACTTACCTGCCGAACAACGTGATGGACAAAGATGAGCAGGATGCACGATCAATGCTGAAGAGGAATTGGTTGAAATTGGTGGAGGAAAGTGAGAAGAGGCAACAGGAGTTATGCCTGAAGCAAGCTGAGTATAAGAAGACTCTCATTCAGACGGTCAATAATTTCAAGAAGGACGTAAGTGGCAATGTTGATTTCGGACTAGGACTACTATTCGTTGCTCTAGGTACGAGACTTCCGGAAGAACTACGAGTCCCACGGCCCCATGGTCAACGGTATAGCCCCACGAGAAGCTGTCGAGCGGCTCAAGCGGTTCAAAGAGGAATTCGAAGTTCGGTCGAGGAAACAAGAAATCTATTATCTCGGAGAGGACCTCTTTGGTCTGCCTCATCAACAGTACCCCAAGCTTGAGAAGACCAAGCAAGAGCTTGGATACTTAGCCCAGTTGTATGACTTGTACGTGCTTGTTTTGGAGACCATCAAGGAGTGGAAGGACTATCTCTGGACGGAAGTGCCGCAGCATATCGAAGACATGAGGTCTCAGGTGAGCACATCGAACATGGACAGTCTTCGCACTAGCGATGCTTTTCAGATTGAAGTATTCAGCAACCGTTGCAAGAAGATGCCGAAACAGCTGCGAGAGTGGCCGGCGTACCATGAGCTGAAGAAGGAGATCGAGGACTTCTCGGAGGCTCTGCCGCTGTTGGTCGAGCTGGCCAAACCGTCTATTATGCCGAGGCATTGGCAGCAAGTACAGGAGCTCACTGGCAAGGAGCTGCCGGTGAGAGATAAGCGTTGTGTATTCTAACGAGTCTGTGTTATCATCGATTGCTCAGGTCGATTCTGAGATGTTCATGTTGCAAAGCTTGATCGACGCCAATCTGCAAGAGCACATCGATGAGGTTACGGACATCTGTGACTCAGCAGACAAGCAACTGATCATCGAGAAGCGTCTAGCAGACATCACGAGCAATGGAGTGAAGAGGCGTTCCTGTTTG